TAAAGTTGATATCTTAGACTTATCAGTCTTTTTATTGCTCTGCCTTTGCTGTTAGCATGCAGTGGCATCATTATGAAAACCAATATTGCTTTTAGGTCCTGATTGAGACTCTGGTGGAGCTTGGAGCCACTGTGCGATGGTCAGCATGCAACATTTTCTCCACTCAAAATGAAGTGGCTGCAGCCTTAGCTGAAGCAGGTGAGATTTCTTACTATTGTTATTATTTAGCTTATGTATATTAGTCCATGATAAATACAGATATTTATCTTCTTAAAGGCATTCTGCTTTTGAATGATATGTAAGATATACTGTTTATTTATTAGAGAACATTTTTCTATGTATATATTTCAATATGTATTTGTGTGCAAAAGTGTTTAGGGAAACTCTCCTAATTGTACATGGGTTTTCCATTTACTGCTTTTAGTTTTAAGTGAATTACTTTTTATTAGATATTTCATAATTAACAAGTTCAAAGTTGACTTGTTATACATCTGTTTCTTACCATACTATATAAACCCTGAAAATTCATTAATCAGTGTTGAAAAACAATTTTTCAAGGCATCCTTCATATTCTCACAGGCCACCCTGTCTTTGCCTGGCGTGGAGAGAGCGAGGAGGACTTCTGGTGGTGCATTGACAAATGCATCAATGCTGAGAACTGGCAGCCAAACATGATCTTGGACGATGGAGGAGATGCAACTCACCTTATGCTCAAGAAGTACCCGGCCATGTTCAAGATGATCAAGGGTAAGATCTTTGTATATGGTAATGTCAGTGTAATAGGTACTGAATCTTATCATTATTGTTATATTTTAAAATGCAAAGCTTGTAATGTACATATATACTTTAATCAGATCATAGGTGTTGTATGATTTTGAAGATTGCATTTTTTTTTTTTTTTTTTCTCTCTCTCTCCAGGTATCTGTGAGGAGAGTGTGACTGGTGTTCATCGTCTGTACCAGCTCAGCAAGGCAGGGAAACTGACTGTGCCAGCCATGAATGTTAATGACTCAGTCACCAAGACCATGTTTGATAACCTTTACTCTTGTAGGGAATCAATCATTGACAGGTAAATTGGAAATTGAAAGTGAGCCATGATTTTGTGAAGCTCATTAAAAATTTGTAGGTGAATGATTTATACCTACTAATTTGTGTAAATCATCAAATGATGATTGATGTGTTCATAATATTAATAGAAAAATGCTAATAGTTCAGGTACCCAACCTGGTGATCTATAGAGTCAATGTAATATTAGTATTCCCTGAAATGATTAGGTTTCAAATATTTAATCTGCTTTGAAAAAATACTCCAGTAATAAATCTTACTGTTTTAAAGATCAAAATTATTGTAGAGATTGAAATTTAAAGAGTAAGAAAGGTTTATATGTAAAAAAAAAAAAAAAAAAAAAAAAAAAAAATGTATCTGTGATAGCATGAGAAGTATGATTTCTCAGCCGAGTAATCATTTCATAAGAAGAGGAAGACATGAAGTTCATGAAGAAAACAAAAATCATTGTGGAATAGGAAATGATAATCAACAAACTCATTGTTTCTTTTTTCAACAGCTTGAAGCGTGCCACTGATGTGATGTTCGGTGGTAAGCAGGTGGTTGTCTGTGGGTATGGAGAAGTTGGAAAAGGTTGCTGCCAAGCCCTGAAGGGTCTCGGCTGCACTGTTTATGTCACAGAAATTGATCCTGTGTGCGCCCTCCAGGGATGGTATGTTTTCCTTCAGAAACTATGTGCTCTTCTAATGGTTTCTTTATAATGAATCTCCTTGAGTGGATAAATTGTTTGAATAGTACACACACACACACACACACACACACACACACACACACACACACACACACACACACACACACACACACACACACACACACACACACACACACACACACACACACACACACATGCATACACACACACACACACACACACACACATGCACACACACACACACACACACACACATGCACACACACATACACACACACACACACACACACACACACACACATACATACACACACACACACACACACACATGCATACACACACACATTCACATACACACACACATGTACATGCATACACACACATATACTTGCACATACACACATGCATATACATGCATATACACACATGCATACATGCATATACATATACACACATACATATACACACATGCATAACATACATATACACACATGCACATATACATATAACACACATGCATACATATACATATACACACATGCATACATATACATATACACACATGCATACATATACATGCATACATATACATATACACACATGCATACATATACATATACACACATACATACATATACATACGCATATACATACATGCATACATGTGTGCACACATATGTATTATATACATACATTAATAAACAAAAAATAGCTTGCTTTATTATTTTCCAATAGAAGAAAAAATATTTTCAATGGGTCAAAAGATATACACTAATGAATTGTATTGAATGAAAAAAGAAGTTACAAATTCTGCTGTCTACAGCATGGATGGTTTCCGAGTTGTGAAGCTGTCTGAAGTGATCCGCCAGGTAGATATCCTGGTGACTGCAACTGGCAACAAGAATGTGGTGACCCGAGACCACATGGACAAGATGAAAAATGGAGCCATTGTTTGCAACATGGGTCATTCTAATACAGAGATTGATGTGGTAGGTTTTATATTCAGCAGTTTCCTTTCTTTTATGTATCTACTTCATTGGGCATTAAATCTTCTTGTGCTATTTTATTTTCCATTTGATAATAGCTTCATGCCCCTTTTTATATCCATTACAAATTGATACATCTATTGTTTATTTTTCAGTATAGAAGCTGCACATGTTTTATGTTTCTTTCATTCTCTTTCTTTCTTTTTCCTTCACAACACTGTCATAAATTTCTTAACATTTTCTGTACCTAGTTTAAAGTCTGTTTTTCCATTTGATGGGGCTGCTACTCATGCTTCAGTGATCATCAGAACAATGTGCAATGTCTTATTATCTGGCTTGCTTATTATTACATATTAAATTGGGTGCATTCTCTACTTGGTAGGAGATTGCTAGGTGTAAATTAACCTTTAATTAGTTGGTGTTGAAATTCTATGCAGTTCCCAGAAAACCTTGAATGGGTAGCAGTTATTTTTCTTTTAAAAAGGTAAATTTTTGTAGTTCTCTCTCTGTTCAGCAGTGCACCTGCAGTCAGTCAATTTCATATTTAAATATACAGGCTTTACTCAAATTGATTTCCATCTGTTATGTAAAGTTTTGTATGCTTCCTCTGATGTTAGGTGTGCTCCTTTGCAGTATTTAGTCTAATGGCTTTGAGATTAATTGTTGGACAAATCCCCTATCAATAAAGCTAAATACTGGATTGTTTATCATTGTACTTCATGTATTATATAAATGTCATTACTATTAAACAAGAAGTACAGGTCCTCACCATGTTATGAAGACTTTTTTATCATGTACATGTATATATATATACATATATATCATTGTATTTTGATGTGCATGTCTTACTGCAAAGGGATTAATGCTTAGAATGAAAGATATTTGGTGTAAAAAATCCTATGGGTGGTCATTGTCTTCATTGTCTTGTGTATAGAGATTATGTGTGATATTTAACATATTATTGGTAAAGCAGCACCTATCAAATTAATTCACAGCACTGTCATATCTTCTTTCAAAATCAGCAAAAAGAAGTCATTAAGAAGCCTTCCAATCTGTCCTGTTCTTCATAATGATTTTCATCATTATGGAATCCATATTCTTTTGTTTATTGTTTTTTCTTCATTCTGTGTCCTGTTATTATATATACTTTTGTAGCTGATTGTTCAAACCTATACTTCTTTATCTTTCAGTTTTCATTTTCACTGAACACAGAGAGCAGTGAATGGAATGTTTCTACAATATGTGTAACTTTGCTTCACAGCCTAGCGCATGTTCACTGATTATTGAAATAATGATAATCAAATATTTTCCATTTAAAGTATTAGTATTCTCAAAGCAAGTGCAATTTCTCAGAAATCTGACTAATGTCTAAGTCTTCTTTCTTGTGTTGTGTTTGTCATTATTATTATTTTCTTTTCATTTTCCTATAATTTTCTTGTCAAATGTCTATGTAAAACTCAAGGTGATTTCATCTTCATTTATATATGAATTTCATTTCATTATTTTGAATTTTTAATGTTAATTCTTTTTATAGATGTAAGATCCAGAATATATTTTCCAGTTAGTTTCTATGAAAACTGAATCCACAATTTTGGCATCAGTTTCTTGTATTTAGTATGAACAATAGAAAAATCAGTTTACATAGCACTAAGAATGTATTAATGCAGAAAATTTGGAATAATGAATTGATGGAAATGCTAGGCCATGTCAAGTCAGGTACCTGTTCACCAGAAGATAGGAATGAATTAGTCAACAAAAAGCCATGGTTTCAGCAAAAGGAAGTTTATCACTTGTCTCCTATTTTAACTTAAAGTTATTAAAGAGAGAAGATGAAATAAAATAAAAAATGGATAGATAGCACATTTGCAAGGTCTACTTAGAATGTGTGTTCAGGCATGATTTACAGGTTCATAATAGTTTCTTAAATCTTATGACACATGGCATTACTGAAGGTTCATGAGTTTAATCTTTATTGAGCGATAAAGAACTAGATCAGATATATCAGGGCATGAGAAGAGAGAAGCAGAAGAGGGTTTATAGGAACAAATTTACTAAGAGGGGCATTAATGAAGAAGCAATTTTGTATCTTGATTCAGATATGAAGTCTTGGGTGTGGCATAAGTGGACATTAGAAAAAGGATAAAAATCAATTTGGATTTTGATGAGTCACAAAATGTTTTGGTGAAATTATATAGTTTGTATTTCTTTATAACCCTAAAGAACAAGAAAGATATTAAACTGATGCGTTAATCCATTGCTTAAGGACAGGCAAAAAATTCTTAGTTTTATTTTTTACCTAAATTCCCTAAAAAGCATCCTGCCACCATAAGATTGTGATTGTCCTGATATAATGATGGCATGACATGTATCCCAGCAAGACAGCCATTCTGAGTATGGCATGACATACATGTCATCCAGAGGTAGTGTTGAGTTCATCCCAGGGTGTTAAAATGCTGTTATGGAAGATTGCCATTCTTATTGAGTAAGAGCAATGTTGGCAAAAAGTAGATTTATCAAACACTTCTTATTTAGGTATTTGATGAGACAGAACATATTGTGATTTTCTTATCCATGATGTCCACATATGATTTACTTTTTGTTAATGTTATACTTTGTATATATTTTGTATAAATAGTTCTCAAGGAAAGCTTCTTTCAAAAAAAAAAAAAAAAAAAAAGAAAAGAAAGAAAAAAAATTATCTGAAAAATGAAATTTATTTGTATATGTCTGGTTGTTTACATATTTATTTTTTGCACAATGTAACAAATATTTGCTTTCCAGTAATCCAGGAACTCTCCTTGGTAAAGTAACATTGTTATGCCAAGTAATACACTACAGTCTTTTTATCTGAGCACTAGCAGTGAACAAAGGTGCTTGATGTTCATCCTAAAGATTTCAACATTTATTACACTAAGACATTTTGGCCAATTTTTACAGGAATCACTCAACACACCAGAACTCGTTCACGAAAAACGTTTAGAGAGGAATTCGGAATCAGTAATGAGTTTTCCTGTTGTTTTTGTAACACTGATACACTCACCCATATAATTCCACAAGCAGTGAACAAAGTTAAACATTTACAACATAATCCATGGGTTTATAAGGTAAAACTAGGTATGGTTTAAGAAGTATATCCTGTTCCGTAACATGTAAGTGGCATGGTAAACTGGTTTGCATGGTACTAATTTTTGAATGAAGAAATTGTTACACAATGAATGTTGTCCTTCCATATCAAACAGATGTACACTCATCTATATGGCAGAGATATTTCAACAGCATTAGTATTTAATACCTGTACATTATAATCTGGTCACGATGTTAACAAATATATATTACATGTTTGAACACTTCCTCCTTGCTTAATAATATTTATTCCATTAGTTCCAAACATGAATAGAATAATGTATCTTTTATTGCTTACCTAGGGGGACAGGGAATGAAAAAAATTATTTCAATTTTAGACAATGGCAGTGGGATAGGCATAGCCAAGACTTAAGATAATGAGTAGATGAAACTTGTTAAGGGGATGTTAACCATCTCTTTTATGGAAAAAATGAGATAATGTTCATTAAGTAAGGAAGAGGTTTTTACGCACTAAACAGCTTGCCCACCTTCAAAGGTACCCACAAGACGTCATATAAACTGAAAGACAGACAAGTGTATGTTTCTTAAAGACAATCTGTCACAGACAATAGTTACACAGAGAATTCAGTCCTGACCTGCTGTATATACACGCAATACATACATTCATTGCATAATCACACAAAGGTTTGCAGAGGCACTTCCTTCAAAGAAATAAAGGAGACAAACCCTAGAAACTAACTTACAACTGGCCTATTTCAGAACTCCCTTCGAACTCCAGACCTGACTTGGGAGAAGGTGCGTTCTCAGGTTGATCACATCCTGTGGCCTGATGGCAAGAGAATCATCCTCTTGGCAGAAGGAAGGCTTGTTAACTTGTCATGCTCATCTGTTCCCTCATTTGTTGTGTCCATCACCTCATGCACTCAGGTAAGAAAAATTTTGGAAATGGGTACTGAGTGATTAAGTTTTTTTTCTGCTCATAGTGTGTGTGGGGAGGGTGCGTGCCTGCATGTGTGTGCGGGCATGTGCTAGTGTATGCACGCGTGCTGACTGTCCAGTCCTTATGAAGTGGCACTCACATCAGTATGATTTGGTTATCTTTGAGTATATAGCCTCTTATGTGTTTAATTGTATTTCTTTCTATGGTCATTTTTCTATTTAGTCATCAATCTCTTTGTTGGTCTACCTGCCAATCTGTATCCTTTGAAATACTTCCTTTCTAATGATAAAATTTTCATCTAGGCCCTGGCTCTGATTGAGTTGTTCAATGCTCCTGCTGGACGTTACAAGTCGGACGTTTATCTTCTCCCCAAGAAGATGGGTAAGTTCATGCTCTTGACTGTTTAGTGTAATTTATTCCTTTGCTTTAATCAACTGACCCACTGGCACCAGGAAAATGTAGTGTTTACTGTATTTTTTTGTGAAATGTCTGCACAGATGTGGTTCCACAAGCACTTAGCCACAATTAGTAGACATTGTGACCTCACTTGATTTCACCTTCCCTTGAGTATGCAGGAAAAACTTTTTTTATGAATGCTAGTAATATCGAGGCTGTTATTATAATTATAATTATTATAATATTATGGACCTTACTAACAGCAATATAAAATACAAGAAAATATTTCTGAAAATTAAGGAAAAGGGTTAACATGTGAGATACATATTTCTTAACTTAAGGAAAAGGGTTAACATGTGAGATACATATTTCTTAACTTAAGGAAAAGGGTAAACATGTGATACATATTACTTGTAATTGGCTCATTAATGACATAGCACTTGTGGAGCCATCTATTTGTAAAGACAATTAACTACATGCTGCGGGGGATGGCATGTACGTACATGCCATGCCCAATGTGTGTTTGATTTAGTATTTGTTTTTACATGCAGATGGCTCCACCAGTACTAAGTCACCAATGAGCCAATTATGAGAACTACCTGTCTTACCTGTTCACCCTTTTCCTTAATTTGTGATAATATTTTCTAGTATCTAATACTGATGTTGATAATGTCAATAACAATATAGTTATTATCATGTTTATAACAAAAATAACAGCATCAATATTGATAGCATTAGTTCAAAAAGCATATTTCAAGGAAAGATGTGGTCTAATTGACTCCGTTGTGGCTAAGCACTGGCAGAACCAGTACAGAAACATTTAAGAAAATAATACTAAAGCGAACGCAATATTTTCCTGTCGGCATTGGGTTAATAAACTAAACTGATAGCGGGTTTGGCAAGTACATACATACTCTCCCTGGTGGCATCAGATTAGATAGATGAAGAAAAGACAGGTTGAAATAATCTGTTAAGTTAGATATCAGTTTTGCTAATCAGAAATAGTGTCCATGTCTCATTTGATAATATAGGATAATGAACATTGAAACATTTTTTATTCATCTCACTATGCAATAGTAAGGGTTAATTACAGTTATTTTTTCATTTGTAGTCTTAAATGCAGAATTCCTACACTTATGGAAAGGCACTCTACATCATTAAAAATTTTCAGATGAGTATGTGGCCAGCCTTCACCTTCCCACATTTGATGCTCATCTCACAGAGCTCAGTGATGAACAGGCCAAGTATATGGGCTTAAACAAGGCTGGACCTTTCAAGCCTAATTACTACAGGTATGAATTACTCCAGTATACCTTATTAGTGTTATTAGTGTTATGTGTATAGTGCTGAATAGTTATTACGATGAAACAATAAGGTTCAAACTTATTAGAAATAAAGAAATGGAAGTATAGTTTCTTTCTTTAAGATTTGAAAATGATGATATCTAACTTTTTTTTCTTCCCCAGGTACTAAGTGATAAATAGGCTGAGGTACAAGAGATTGCAATCTACTTGGACTGTATGACAGGGTCAGAGATTTTGAGTCCACATAATTTTTCATACACACTTTTGTTGTTAAATCAAGAACTGGTTGTAATATAGTATCATATTGTTCCCATTGTCTCAGACTTTGTCCATATAATAAGTTTATATTCTGAATTGTCATCTCAATTTGAAAAAAAGGTTTGCTGCATCTACAGCAAAATCCTTTGTACCTGTTAGCAAACAAAGTATGAACAAATGTACATGTCTGTTAAAGAGCCAATAATAGTACCTGAAAACAGTAACTGCCAATCATCTCAGAGTTGTGTTGAGGTACTAAGATGATATTTCAGAATGTGAATGTAATGTCCAGTAATGTAAGTAGCTTCCTATTGACCATCACAGTAGCAGGTGAACCATATTTGAAAGTACATATCTGTTCAATCTCTGTTGTTTATTATGGAAATGGTGGTGAGGTTCTGATTTCTGTATAATTATTATTGAGATTTACTTCTTTGGAAGATTGTTATCTACAGAGAAATTGCTTGAACTCTCAATTTGATTTATGTTATTGTAATATGTAAGTAATTATTAATATATACCTATCACAATTTTAATTTAATAAAGAAGGTTCTGACATTATTGAAAACAAATGTTTATTTGTATTTGGATAAGAATTAAAACTTAAAAATATGAAAAAATATATTTATGTGACTTTTGTATGTGTTCATCAATATTGCAAGGTAATTGCCATGTAAAAATAAGTGCGTCAGTGGAAATGCTATTGAGTTGGAGAATATTTTTAAGAAGATATAGTAGTTTGAATATCTGTTTTGACAAAAATGGTTCTACACACCGCAACAGCCAGAAAAGAAACCTTGAGTAAATATGCTGTTTATGTATAGATCATATTTGCCAGGTTTGTAATTAGATTTGGACAAATGAGAGTAACTACCATGGTCTGAAGAGTAAATTGAGGGCTAGCAGAGGTGCTTGGTAGCATTAATGAACCATCATTAATACTGAAACTTTCTTGGCAAGGTCTCCCTTTCTTGAGCAAGGTAGAGGTTGAGTTATTCAAAAGAGATCTGGATATTTGAAGGACATTGTTATATAGCTCATAGGCCATGTTTGTTGTAGAATCTGCCTGTTTTGTCTGTGATAGATTTAGAAGACAGTACCAGGTGCAGAGTGTAAGTAATCAATATAACCACCAAGAGCATGCAAGTTTATCAGGCTGGAGGTTAATCTGGCTCCATTGAAAAAAAGAGTAACTCATTGTGATTCCTAGTGTGTATAATATATCTTACTAGTACTCTTTTGATGGCTTTGGAGTCTTGTGGGATGAGCTGCAGTCAGATTGACTTTCCAGATGGTGAATACATCATCATTGTGGCACTCATTATGTACAGCAATAGGAAGTATATTGATATTTATTAATCTATGCTCCAGTACTGTTAGGTAATTTTGTGTGCGTGTTCGTGCATGCATGTACGTGCATGTGCACACACACACACACACACACACACACACACACACACACACACACACACACACACACACACACACACACACACACACACACACACACACACACACACACACACACACACAACACACATACACGCACACGCACACACACGCACACATACACATACACCACACACGCACACACACGCACACATACACGCACACATACACGCACACACACTCACACACACGCACATACAGCACATACACGCACACATACACACACACATACACACATACATACATACATATACAAACATGTATACATACATGCAGACAGACATTCATATACACATGCATAAATGTTTTACAAGAAGCCTTAGAAAGAAGCCAATAGCAGCACCAGTTGGCTGTTTTCAAGACCAATTTCATGCCAGAAGAGGAAGTTCCCGAGAGGAACTTGAAAGGCAGTGACAACATGGTTCTGCTTCCATGTGACCTCAAGTTGGTCATGTTGTTGCTCATTTAAGGCCTAAATTGTGAAGAATTATGGAATGTTAGTGTGTACATTTCAGTCATTTCACGGCTTCTTGAATGTACTGATACTACAATAACAAACTTATCAGACTGTTAGCCATAAAGAGATTCAGAGGAATCTGCTTCTGATACAGGTACATGATACATCAGAATATGGGCCTTACTGTCATTGTTGTTGTTACTGCTGTTGCAAGCATTGCCATCTACAGCTCATTATTCATTCACTCTCGGATGGTGCTGTCAAGACAATCACCTGTTTGACGTTCAATCCCACAAGCCTTGTCTTGGTTTCACTCAGTGTCATAAGCTGTTCAAGACTTGACAACAAATTTTTACCAAAAGGAGACAGTCATTCTGAAAATATGTATGCACAAGGCAACTCATATTTTGGTGATTCTCTTTTTTCTCATTTTTAAGAAAGTGAGATGTGTTGCTCCTGTTCAAAAGGCTTGTGGTTGTTGGGTGTCACACAAAATATCAAAAGACAGAATATGTAAATTTTCATTACAACATACTTGAACATACAAAGGATACAGCAGCAAAAAGAAAAGAATTAAATAACAGTGTATAAATTAGTTCTATTCAATATTAGAATTCCATTTCAGAAGAAATCAGAATTATTACATGGTTGTCCAAGAATGTACTGGTTTTCTTAGTGGTGTCAGAAGCCAGGAAGTTCTAGGACACTGCTGTCCTGTGTGAATTGTTAAGTCAGAGTAACATTTATCTGTACAGTAAGATTATGAACTCTACCTAAAACTGCCCACTTCAAATCAAAACAGGGCCAGAGAAAATATCCATAAATAATTCCGTGCCATTGATGCCAGCACCATGTCGGTCCTTTCCTCAGCATATATTTTATCACTATATAACTCAAAGGCTATACTGTGAAAATTATTTTACAACTGAAAAGTATTTTGATTTTTAATATTTCTTGACATTTTAATGTACTGTATTTAGATTTTAAAAAGTTATGTCCAGTGTTACAGCATAATTGAAGTTGGAGAACCTTATCATATTCATAGAAATACCATTCCTGTTGGTACCCTTTTGGAGAGCTTTTATAGAAGAATATTGTTTTCAGTGAAATAACACCTCAATGCCTTTGTTATATCCACAAGCATAGGATCTCTTGTGTTTTTAACATATTTATTTCATATCTTATTATATTTTATATGAAAATGAAAATTTGCCAAACAAAAAGTATATTTTTAGATTTGGTGTTGATGTCAGTTAATGCAGTATATTAATTGTCCTCTTTTATGTCACCACAAGGGTGAACATCTGGCATTCCTTGCAAAACATGTGTGATAAATAATAAGAGATTTTGCTTTGATAATGACATTACCAGCTCTGTGTAACCAGATATAATTTAAATAATAGTATAATTTAAGACTAGTATCTGGTACTGATAAGTATAGAAGGATTATAATCAATTTAAAATGAAATTTATGTGAAACAGCAGCAGCAGTGGATGATATTGTTATGCTTCATTCTAGAAAGCAATGGTATATGTATTGTATATTTTTTATAACACATTATAAAAGTACTCCAAATGAGTCCTGCAAGGTGGGTGAGGTATTTATTGTACAATCTGACATTCCAAAGCACCTTGTAAGAGTTATCATTATTATAATTATTTTTTGCTCTTTAGTTTATATTTTCTCTGATTTTATAGGTGCTTGTGACTTCCACTTCTTATGCATAACTTCTAATTCATGTGAAATGAAAAAAAAAAATGTAGTGTCTTGATTTATTGAATAAATTTGTTTATCTTTTAATGTGATTCAGGTTCTCAAAGTCTGTTTTGAAGCTAAGACTGTAGGTTACAACCCACCCACATGCATTTATTCTGTGAGTGAATTTTGAGAAGACTTCATTTTTACAAAGATGAACTTCCAAGAACCTGCAGACTGTGTGAAACTTCAGAACATGTTCTTACTAACCTATATTGTATTCTATTCAGTACTGTTTAAAGTTGGCAAGGGTTATAAAATATTAGTTTGTAGAAATTATTGGAGTTTTATTGATCCTTTCTGAAGAAAAATGCTTTTTGGGTACAAGTGAATTTTTCTCAATAGGTGTATATTTATTTATTTATTTTTTATATCAGTTAGATGCATTCACAAACTTGCAAAGATCTATCAAATCTTTGCAAGTTTGTGAATGTATCTAATTGAATAAAGCATATAAATGAGAAACTTAGTCCCCAAGGATGGCTTTAGCATGAGCCACTAATAGGGCTTGAACACCAAGTCCCCCCTAATCCCATGCCTGTTCTTATCATTACACCCCCCATCCCTTGCTTGTAGTCGTGGCTCTGACCACTGCTATTACTACCCCCACCTCGATGCTTCCTGTCAACTCTATGAATTCCGTCATCCACCCAGGTCATTCCCCCCCAATCCCTTGCCCACTGTTGTCGTGGGGGGCTTAGGAGACAGAGATTGAGACCCAGTGCAGGGATCTCCCCTGCCTAGGGCCTCAGCCCTTGACTCAACTAATCTTACATGGCCTTTTCTCCCTCCGGCTTTGTTTCCGTCCCTGCTCCAACCACCTTCTACTATCTACTTCCTAAGGTGTAAGAGCCGTGCTAAAAGGATGAAAGGCTGACCTTGTGCCAGTCCTGAACGGCCTGTGGGAACCATGGGCACGGTATTCCCCTGATTTAGCTGTCTAACCCTTGCCCCTTAATTAAGAGCACTGAGAGGTGGACTGTTTATTTCCCTTACATAATCAAGGCTTCCCATGGCCAGTAATGAAGATGTAATACCCTTATTAGGGGCAATGAGGCTTGCCCCTTCATCAAATAGCCCCACCAATTCAGACTCTACCGGCTCCCCGACCCCAGGCTCTCCTTTGACCACAACTCTGAACACTGAAACTACTACCCACTCCTCAATGCCTACAAGTGCATTACCCACCCAAACCGAGACTCAATCTCCAGAAGACATTCCTACTCTCCCAACTTCCTCAACTTCATCAACTCTACCCCTACAACCTTCTTCATCAAACACCTCAACCTCCCTTATTACTACTTTACAGCCTGATTCTCCGTCTCTCTGTAATACCCCTCAACAACACTCCCTTTTCCAATCGTCCCCGTCCTTCTGCCACCACCAACCCTACTAATATCTTACCCCCCCAATCCCTTGTCCGTATCCCAATACAGGGATCTCCCCTGCCTAGGGCCTCAGCCCTCGACTCAACTAATTTTGCATGGTCTTTTCCCCCTCCAGCTTTTTGTTTCCGTCCCTTCTCCAACCCCTTCTACTATCTACTTCCTCAGGTGTAAGAGCCGTGCTGAAAGGATGAAAGGCTGACCTTGTGCCAGTCCTGACCGGCCTGCGGGAACTATGGGCATGGTACTCCCCTGATTTAGCTGTCTAGCCCTTGCCCCTTAATTAAGGGCACTGTCTAGCCCTTACCTTCAAGTGCATGAGGGTGGACCGTTTATGCCGTTTTATATAATCAAGGTTCCCCATGACCAGTAATGAAGATGTAATCCACTTATTAGGGGCAATGAGGCTTGCCCCTTTATCAAATAGCCCCATCCCAGGCTCTCCTTTGACCACGACTCCGAACACTGAAACTACTACCCACGCCTCAATGCCTACTAGTGAATTACCCACCCAAGCAGAGACTCAATCTCCAGAAGAAATTCCTACCCTCCCAACTTCCTTAAATTCATCAACTATACTACCACAACCTTCATCAAACACCCCATCCTCCCTTATTATGACCTTACAGCCTTATTCTCCATCACTCCGTAATACTCCCTCTTCCACACGTCCCCAACCATCCACCACCACCAACCCTACAGATATCTTAAATACTCTGTTTAGCCCAGCTAAATGGGACTGATTTTTCGTGATCCCTTCTACAGCTCCTTACTCAGGCAACACTCTTCTTTCAACAATGCTTCCATAAACAAGTGAGTCCCTTTCTATACCCGACGCGATCGCTCCCGTCTTGTAACAGTCAGATCAGAAACTGAATCTATAGCACTGTCAAATCTAACTGATCATTCTGGCAATCCTATTCCTGCAGAACCTCATCCAACTCTTAATACTTGTACCAGAACTGTCTCTATCTCCTCAGCAAACTGCCCAGTCGATACCAAAGATTGGTTAGATTGTGGAGAAGACTTGCTCGGCTGCCTCAAAGACCAGGACATATCAGTACATTGCAACTCCATTCCTCCTAGAGGTCATCGAAAGAAACCCACTAACATTGTCAAAATTACTTTCAGTACACTTGACCTTACTGTTCGTATCTACATTGGTGGATAATCCCTCCCTGTTCAACCATACCATCCTCCTCCCCGTCAATGTCAAAATTGTTGGCGATTTGGACATCCTGCCAAACACTGCCGCTCCACAGACCGAT